TTTTAGGAGCCTATACAACCCTCATATGGAACCGATAGCTAAATTTGGTCTAAGACAACATGAGTTTAGCGCTGATAAATCCAAATTGTGTGCAAAGGAATTGGGCCAGCTGAATATATACAGTACAATAAGCCCACAAAGGCTTAAGAACGAGCAGAATATATAAAAACAGTGATAACATCGCCTAAATGTAGGCAACTTTTTTCAGTTTGCTTTCCAAATAACATCGCCTAAATGTAGGCAATATTTTCAGTTTGATTTCCAAATATCAGGATCAAACCTCACAAGAGCCATACAATGAGCCTACAAGCAACGACAACAAGCAATTAAAAAAATATTAAAGATAAACTGCGTTGTCGCCTAAATGTAGGCAACACTTTTTCAGTTTGCTTCCTAAATACCAAGAAGGCCAGACGGCACGGGGGAAGTACAATGAGGCTATAATCAACTAAAACGAGCAATTAAAAAATATTTAAAACACAGCGATGTCGCCTAAATGTAGGTAACATTTGTACATTTTTCAAGGAAAAATTAAAAAAAAAAAAGTTTCAAAATGAATCACCGTTTATTAAAATATATTAAATTCTGTTATTATATCTGTTCAAAAAACATTCATAAAAAATGCTTTTATCTCTGACTTGCAAGTGACAGCCTATTGTTTACAAGAGAATGACACTATTTTTACAACTGCCACGAATAACGTGACAATCAAGCTGATTAGCTAATTTTATCCCTAAATATAATTCAAATATACAACTACAAAAAGTTGATTTCAAAGTTCAGGCTTTACGGCAGCAAAATAACAGCGCGGCAACGCGCTGAAGGCGCAACGCTTGCTACCTTTAAAGGAAATCATTGCAACAGCGCCTGCAACTATTTTCGCCTAAGCGCTAGAACAATAACAGCAGCAACAAACAAGCACTCACACACACACGTAAACACGGCGGAAGATGATGTGAAGCAACTAACGCGCCTAAGCGCAGGTGTGTGCGCGTTTGTGTTCCGGCGGCTGGTGTCGGTGCTGTTGTCAGCCTGCAAACGCGGCTAGAATATTGAAGTACGCACGTCACCAACAACCAACGGGCGCATCCATCGCACAATTATCAATAACAACATTTCAGGAATGTTTGCGCGCACAACGGCACACACACACACACACAAACAAATATGCGACGCCACATGGCGGAAAATAAATTAAAGAGCAACAACAACAGTACAAAAATGATTGCTCACACAACTGATGTGGCATCAATCAATTTTGTATGCGCGACGCGTATGCGACAGCTAGTTAGTGCGTGTGTATGTGCGGGGCATGTATGGGGAATATGCATGTGCTAGATGTGCGTGTGTGTGCGCGTTAAAACGCGTGCGCTTGCGATTTAAAGATCAAGTTCAATGAAACGCAGACGCAGCCGTAGCTGCGGCAAGCAACATCAACAACAACAACAAGCAATATAAAACAATGTAAAGAAAGAAAATTAACTAAATAGCAACAATAACAAGTAATTGCGGTATGCCTATACATACATGCATACACAACAAAGCATGAGACAGCAAAAACGCGCAAAAATAAACAAAATAGTGAAAAAGAATAAAAATTAAAATAAAATACGAATTCATTTAAAAGGAAAGCGTTGCGGCGGCAAAAGCACGAAAAACAGCTAGTATGCGAAAATTGTGTTAAAAATAGCAACAACAACAACAAAGTATGTATATAAACAATTTAAAATAACGATGACAAAATTCAGCAGCAAATTATGGCGCGCTACTGTTTGTTTTTGTTGTAGTTGCAGCAGACAATGCAAACGAAATACGACTTGAACTAAATATATACAAGTTTACATACATATTTATATCTGAATGTACATGTGTATGTAATATATGTAAATGGTATTTGACAAATAAGCGATATGCGCACAAAACGATATTTTCGTAAAATATTGTTTTCACACGCACGCAAAATATTTTGCCGCCAAACTGTTGAGCCGCAAAAACAAAAATCACAATAATTGTTAACAAAAACTACAAAAAAAAATATATATTATTACAGAAAGAAATATAAAAAACTAACTAATAGATAATTACTTTTAAAAAATAACAAACA